CTGGGAATTGTCTAGCTGTCTCACTCCAGAGCTCATCTATGAAACATGATGCTAAGCTGCCTGTCCTGTCATAGAACTCACTTGCTCAAGTACCTAGTGGCCCATCCTGACACTGTCACCTCCATATACACTATAAGGTGCCGTACCCTGACCAGAGGCAGGGCTACTGTGCCACCAGCAGCCCAGTCCACCCAGAGAGATCTCGAAGCATGGTAGCAGCAGAAAGCTATAAAAGCAAAAACTCGGGATTTCTGCAGCTGACTCTCTGCAGCTAGGAGACATGCCATACCTGTCCTGATTGGTATCACAGGAGTCTCCAACCAAATCGTTGTCCACATCCGACTGCAAAGAGAAAGGTGTTGTTATCCCCAGGATGCCTGTACAGGCTGTTCCAAAAAAGGCAGACCTGGCCCATCATCACTGGATTTGGGGAATTATTTATCTGGAACTGGGGTGGTGAAAAACTGCAAAAGGACAACACCATATTGGTGTAGGCATAATGATGAATTTTTAAAAAAAGTCTTCTAAAATATCAAGCTACATGGATGAGCTGCCTACACACCAGATGAGCTGATGGGAAAGGGGCACCGGGTAGCATGGTGGCAGCTGGACATGTGGAACTCTGGCATGGTTCGGAAGGGAGCCAGCCATAGGCATGGGACAAGGCAAACTGATTTTGCTTTGTTTAGGCATTTTGGAATTGAGTGAGTCACAGAGGGCAACTACAACTCCCCTCAGGGCTTGAAAAAAATGACACATCATACCTAGTTATCCAGGGAGTGAGAGGGAAACTAAGCAAGTCACTAACTGAACTTAAATCGGAAATGTCCATACATAAGCTTGTAGGGGTTTGGAGACTCAAGGGATACCCAGCTCCTAATGGTTAATTTCCATGTTCCATTTTCCTTTCAAAGAAACAAACTAATAGAAACAAGAAAAATCATCTTGGTCACCATTGAGCTCATGTTCCTAACCTCGGAGGCACGCTACAAACTGTGAGATTAGTCCCCAGGGCCTCAGATTTCTCACAATGTCTGTCCCATTACCATCAGGCCTAAAATGTGTCATTTTTCCACCTCTGCTCTGACAGTAAGTGGCAACAGCATAGAGCCGGCTCACAGGCTCTGCTGTTTTTCTAGACATTGGTTTTACATGAGTCTCTGCATGGGAAGTTCAGCATGGAGTCTGAATTTCCCTGCACCGACTAACCTGGTTAGGGTTGCTGACATCGGGACAACTGTCACAGGCATCTCCTACACCATCACCATCCTTGTCCCGTTGATTACGATTGGGAACTTTTGGGCAGTTGTCCAAAATGTTTTTTATTCCTGCAAGAAAGGAATGCTACCTTGGGTTAGGGAAACATCACAGATGGGAATGAAATACACTGACTTCTAGTGCCTTTTTTTTTTTTTTTTGGAGAGGTTTTTGCTATAGGGCACGTGCGCTTGCCAAAAAGACAGAGATAGACAGAGAGACAGAAAATGAGAAATCACCCTCCCCAGGGGGGATGGCCATGCCACAATCCCTTCTCCTCCATTCTCCTCTCAGGATTTTGGGCACGCATGCACATGCACCCAGCATGAGTTTAAGTCACCAGGTCCAGGACTACGAACCGCAGTTAACTACATGGAAGTCCAGTGACATAGCCATTATGCTAACTGCTGGTCCCAACTTCTAGTGCTTTTGAGACCAGGGTATGGTGAGTACTTCTGCCTGGGCTATTGCCACAGAGCTCCGACCCTGTCAACAGTATCTAGAAGTAACTTCAAATGATAGGTTCTGGGAAACTTAGAAGTACACAGCTTATGGAGACACTTCTTTGCCGAATTCTAGCTTGTCTGAGTCTCCAAAGGCTATGATAGCAACCAGAGGAGGGAGTCATGCTGGCTAGGTGCGCTGGCTCTAGAGAGGGAGGACCTCTGGGTGCCTGTGTTGTAACTGCAATCTGAGGACTCCAGGCAGTGGTGTGCTGAAGCCAGTCCACTGCATCCTTCTCTTTCTAATTTTGTAATCAATGATGTATTGGTAGCTTGCAATTAATCATGATAGAATAGTTACATCATAGAAACTGGCAAATGTTACGAACCAAGGCTTCCTTGATGTATTCTATTGAGCTGGTTTATCAGCACACCACTGGGTCTAGGTCATTGTTTGGGTTCATAGAAGGTGGGGATTATGTTTTAGGGAGGAGTGGGTCTTCTGGAGTGCTGTATGTATGTGTTTGGTGGGGTATATTTCTTTATCTTTTTTTAAGAATTACTTTTATTTAACATTATTTATCATTATTATTATTTTTCAATTTGCTACAGAGCAGCTGCATTCATCAGAGAGAGACAGAAAGAGAGAGAGAAAGCAAGCCACCAGGTCTGAGACTTGAACCGTGGTTGAAAATGTGGAAGCAGCTTAACACCATGCCATTTGCTGGTCCTGGTGTGGTATATTTCTAAAAGAATTTCTCTTCAAAATCCTGCGATGTGACATGGTGATTGTTTTTCAGAAATGAATGGATTCCAGCCTCTCCTTTAATGATAGTTGTCTACATCTATGGGAGCTGTACAGGGACAAATGTCCTCCCTTACATTCCATGAGGCTCCAGAGCTGATGAGAGGTGCCTCCAGGGTGCCCCTCACACAGACTGCATGTGAGGCCGTCCCTGCAGTGGGGTCCTTGGAGCTGTGCAACACAGTCACTTGGCCTCCACAGCCCTTGCAGAACAGGCAAGGGTGCTACATCTATGGGGAATGCCTGGTTTGGGGAGAAGCCTGTCCCACACAGCATATCCTGTCAAAGCTCTCTCACTCACTGCTCTAGGTCCAGGCCTTTCACATGGGGCACGGCTGGTGGGGAGCAGGGAAACATACAGTCTAGGAAGGTGGATGCCTTGCAAAGACACAGTCCTACAAGACACAGCTGGAAGGGACCTTACACATTTCAGGCAATGATATGGAACCATCAGGGCTGTTAATAGGGCAGTGGGCTATTGATTTCCACAGAAACAGGTCAACCATCAGCCCTCTAGTTGCAGACCACAGCGAACCATCCAGAGCTAGAAGGCCCTGGGTTGAAAATTCTATTCCTACTCTTGACAGAAAGTGGGGGCAAAAAGTCAATGATTCTCAGATAAAAGACGAAGCAAGACAAAGCTACCATCTCCATCCATGTCGTCGTCACAGGCGTCTCCTTTCCCATCCCCATCAGTGTCCTTCTGGTCGTTATTTAAGACAGTCCGACAGTTATCACAGGCGTCCCCAAAGATATCTTTGTCACTGTTCCTCTGGTCCACATTGTGAGTCAGGACGCAGTTGTCCTGAGAAAGGAGAAGAGGGCAAGCTTACTCAAACTCTCATTGAATCAGCTCCTCCACCGCTATGAGCTGTCAGAACCCTGGGGCCTAATCCCATCAGTTTCTTATTTTCACCATGTGCGAATCTTGTAGAATAAAAAGCTGCAGTGCTATGAGAATGTGGGCATGGAGGCTAACATTTGGGATGATTACTATAAATAGTTGGCTTTGCGGGCTTCCTTCTCTCATCCCTGGTCTACCCAGCAAAGCAGGTACCTGCTCATTCAGGATCCCGTCTCCGTCAGCATCATCGTCACAAGCATCTCCAATGCCGTCTCTGTCTGCATCTTCCTGGCCGGAATTTGGCACATACTTGCAGTTGTCCTAAGGAGGGAAATACAACTCAGAATGACATGACCTCTGTGTTACGTTACAACTATTTCTGACCCCCAGGCTGACTGGCTACTGGCTTTCTTACTGCTTCATGTGAAATACTTTAAAAGTGCCATTTTGAACTGGACTTGCAGAACTTCTCCCCATATTCGATGTGGGCATGGTAAGTCAAAGAGTGTGTGTGTGTGCACATGCGTGTGCACGTGTGTGTGTGTGTGCTGTATTTGTCCTGCATGCCCCCTTTACCTTCTTGCAGTTCCTGGCAGAGCATGGCAGTTCTTCGTCGGGGTAACTGTCGATGTCCACGTCCTTTCCACAGACGTAGCCATCACCGGCCCAGCCAACTCCACACTGCGAAGGGAAAGCTCATCAGAGGCCCGGGAAGCTGAGCCTGGTGGGGACAGGTGGCTGGCAAGGTCTTTGCTGTGTGTGTGCATTCCCAGGGGCAGGGCCTGGAGCCAGACAGCTTTGTGTTGGGGTTGGAAAACCATTTAATTGCATCTGAATTGTCTAATGGTTTGAAATTGAAAAGGTACAAAGGGAGTTGATAGTGAAAACTCCCCATGCAGCTGCTGTCTCCAGGGCTCAGGCATTCAGGTCAATCCATTGTCATGTATAGTTTTACTTATTCTGCATATACAAGCAAATCCACATAGTTTCCCATTCTTGTCTCTGTACATGTTTGGCATCATATACATACATCTAGCTGTATGCATACATCTGTATGTAGATGTGTGTACATATGTTCTGTCTCTTGATTTTTTAAAAAATGATTTAATTTATTTATTATTATTCTTCAATTTGACAGAGAGGAAACAGAGGAGAGAGAGAGAGAGAGAGAGAGAGAGAAAGCAAGCCTCCAGGTCCAAGACTTGAACCATGGTCGGCCATGTGGGAGTCCAGCACCTTAACCGCCATACCAACTGTTGGCTCAGTCTTGATTTTTTTTAACTTAATATTATATCTTGTAGTTCTTCTCATATGCATGCAGATCCATTTCATTTGTGTTTGTTTTTCAAGTTTTGCATAGGGCATATATGCTCTTTTTTTTTTTTTGAGAGGTTTTCACTGAAGGGTGTGTGCGCTCGCCAGACAGACAGAGAGAGACATAGAGACAGAAAGCGAGAAATCACCCCCCAGAGGGGATGGTCACACCGCAATCCCTTCTCCTCCATTCTTCTCTCGGGATCTTGGGCACGCACGCACACGCACCTGGCATGAGTTCTAAGCCACCGGGTCCGGGACGCGAACCACGGTCGACTATGTGGGAGTCCAGCGACATAGCCATTACACTAACTGCTGGTTCCTGTATGTGCTCTTTAGAGAGAGAGAAGGAGACCGAGAGTGGGAAAGTGAGAAATCACCCCCTAGGGGAATGCCCTCTCTGCAACCCCTTCTACATGCTCCTCTTGGGATTTTGGGTATGCACACACACACTTGTCCGGGGTGTTTTTCAGGTTGCTGATCTGGGACTTGAACTGTGCTGTCAGTCATTTGGGATCCACGCCACCTGCTGGCCCCATAACATTCTTTATATGGCCACAGATATATCATATACAACGTCATATGGATGTGCCTCAGTTAATTCAACCAGTTTTCCATTGGTGGGTGTCAGGTTTTAAAATCTTTTCTACTGCAAACAATGAGATCACAAGCAACTCTGACATCTGTCATTGTGCACATGAACTAGTTTCAGGGCATGGGATTCCTGGTGCTCAGGGTATCTATAATTGTAATTCCGAGTTATTGTCCATGTGACTGGGGATGTGTGGAGTGACTGGAATGGGTAGAGTGACTTCTATGGCACTTTGCTCATCTTTTTTTTTTTTTTTTTTTTTTGGGTTTTTTTTTTTATAAGCAGAGGTTTTTTTGCTACAAGGCGTGTGCGCTTGCCAGAAAGACAGAGAGAGACAGAGAGACAGAAAGCAAGAAATCACCCCCCAGGGGTAATGGCCATGCTGCAATCCCTTCTCCTCCATTCTCCTCTTGGAATCTTGGGCATGCACACACATGTGCCCAGTGTGAGTTTAAGCCACCGGGTCCGGGACTCGAACCGCAGTCGACTACATCGGAGTCCAGCGACATAGTCATTATGCTAACTGCTGGTCCCTTTGCTCATCATTTTTGAGCCACCTTCATGTCTCTGAATGTAACTGTCATCTGGATCAATTGCCACTAAAGGAGGACCCTTCCATGGTGCTTTCTCTCTATTCACACCCTTTTCTTTTAACAGAGGAAGGTCCCTGTGGGTGTGGTGTGTGTGTCTCTGCTTGCCTGAAATGGCTACCCAAATATCCTGCCACCAGCAGCCAAAGCCAGCCTTCATTATCAGCAGACCTATGCATTAAAATAACACTTATTTGGAGCCAGCAGATGGCATAGTGGTTCAGGTGCTGGACTTCTATGTGGTAGACTGTGGCTTGAGTCCCAAACCCAGTGGCTTGAAACTCATGCCTGGTACATGTGCATGCATGCCCAAAATCCCAAGAGGAGAATGGAGGAGAAGTTGTGGTGTGGCCATCCCCACTGGGGGTGATTTCTTGCTTTCTACCTCTGTCTCTGTGACTGTTAAGTACACATGGCCTATAGCAAAAATCTCTCAAAAAGAAAGAAAGAAAGAAAGAAACAAAGAAAATAACAGTTATTCCGTACCAGACTCTTCATGAACATTCTGTCTCACCCTCACAGTGATGTGGCAAGGTCATCATTCTCCCCTTTTATAGAAGAGTCAAGTAAGCCTGGCGTGGTTAAGTACCTTGCCCAGGGTCTAAGAGCTGGGAAAGGAGAGCCAGGACTTGAACCTGAGCCTGTCCCATTCCAATGTCTTCGTACTGCCATTTAGTTAATGTGCACTCTGAGCTCTTCCCTTGATACTCCACACCCTGGTCAGCCTAGTTAAAGGATGACTGACAAACCAAGGAGAAAGAAAACCCTTTCAGAAGTGGTGTCTCGAGTGGGAGGTGGTGGTTGGGTAACCCTGTTCCGCAGCAGGGCCGTCACAGTGGAAGGAAGATGAGAGAAGGGGACCCTGAAATATCAGGGAACCAGAACTGCAAAGGGATAGGAGGGGAGAGGAGGGAAGAGGGAGAGTCTGAGGAGCAGGATCAGGGCCAAGGGCAAGCTTTACAGGAGTGACAGTCCTATTTCCTGGCCTCTCTAGTCACAATGAGGTGCTCTCAGCGCAGTGATCGTTCAAGTGCAGCCTGCTTGTTCTCAGTCATCTGCACCCAGAGATGAGAAGGCAAGACTCCAGAGAGAACCCTCCTGGCTCCCTGCCCCCCATCCTCACTCAGTTGCTTTAGAAGGCCTGGAAAGCACAGCCACAGGGTACGGTCCTGGACTCGTTTTAATGAGGAAAAAAATTTCCTCTAGGAACAAATACATTTTTAATGAGCCATTTTCTGGCAGATTAAATTATTTTAGTAGTCACACCAAGTTTATTAATCCTTTACCATCTGTCGTTGTGCCTTATTACAAATTCAAAAGCATATTAAGAGTTCCATCACCCACCATCCCAGGGGAGTTGACAATTTGTTCACAGAAAATGAGGATTTAAACAGAGATATACACTTGCTTCTCAATGATTGTTTTTTGGTAATAAACATGTCCAACCAACAGGCATTAGAGAAAGTGTGGGGGTTGCTCCCCCTCTGACACAGCACATTCCTTCATCCTGACCTGGCTATAGAACACCTTATTGCCAGGAAGGGCTCATTTTATTGCATGCATTCAGTTCTTACTTCTATTGACTCCGACTTTTCCTCTTTCAGGAGTACTGTGCTCATTGTAGAATAGTCTCCATGCATCGCAATAAAAAGGTCTACGTTTGAAGCATGAAGAAGAGGGAAGTCTCCTGGGATCCACCCTGCTGCTCAGAGGTGAGTGCCATGAAGCTGTCAATCAGAGTCTGAAGGCAGGCCTGTGTAGGACTCGGCTCTCTGGGAAGTGAGGAGCAGGTAGGATGCTACAATCTGCTGGCTTAGCAGTGCATGGAATTCCCCTGAGGACCCTGGGCCTAGCCTCAGGGAATAGAGGCCAGGGATGAGCCTCGTCCTTCACGAAGGGCTCACTGCACACTCAAGGAGAGACCCAGGTCAGCTGCAACTGCCCAGCTCTCTTCCCAGCTGCCACCTCCCCAGACTAGCCCAAGGGGTGGGGAATGCACAGGAGGATGACCAGTCACTGGGCTGTCCCTGAACTGGAGTGGAGGAGACACAGAGAATGGCCCTGTGTGCTCCTTTCCACTCATTTGCAAAAGATGGAGCATGGTTTTCTCTCTCAGAGTTTACAACAGGTCCTGACATCCACACTTGCCAACTGCCATCCACCCCCAGGAATGCTAGGCCAGATTGAAGTCTTAAAAGGGAAGACAGAAATGATAGCAGGTATGCTTGTGAATTAGACCAACAAGCAGATACGGCAGAAGGACAGGAGGGACAGAGGCTCCTTCAGTCCCTGCTGGGGCCTCTTGGGTCTTTCATTGTAAGGTGGGACTCTACTGGGGTCTCTATCACCTTAGGGCCCAAGTGGATGGTGTCATCTCATGGGCAAGGAGAGAAAAGCAGCTGATGGTTACGTGCACTTCAGACTCCTTCCCCACAAACTCACTGACCCCATTACTATTACACCCAGTGCTCAATTTGATCACAGTGTTTTCTTCCAGCATAACATTTTAATTTTGGAGTGTGATGGTACTAGAACGGGGGAAAAATGATAAAGTCAATAAACAACTTACCACGCAGGTCACATCACCCTGCCTGTCTTCGATGCATTGTGCATTGACGCTGCAGGGGTTCAGTTCTGGATTTCGACAGTTCCTTTCAGTTTTGCAGCCCCTTGTCTGATCACCAGTGTACCCTGGTTTGCAAGGCCCACAGCGGTAAGATCCCTGCCAGGAACAAAGATATTGGTGAGCCAGAGGCTCAAAACTGTAAGCAAAGTCACTGTAACCGTGTTTATTTTCATATGTATTCATAGATGCCGGGGTTGAGTGAGACCCGTGTCTGTCTCTCTATAACACACGTATGTATGTCTCATAAGGATGTGTGAATGTTGGTGAGAACACCATCAGATTGGAAGCTGCAGTAGGACCAGGAAGAAACAGAACTGAAGGCAGAGGAAGCTGGACAGTGAATCAACACTGGCTTGGAGAGCCAAGGAGGAAGGCTGGAAGTTCCAGTGGAGTCCTGGGAGGTGGAGTGACAGGGCTTACTCTGGCAACAGGGAGATGATTTGGTTAAAAAATAAATTCATATGTATGTGATTTTTTTTCTTGTTTGTTGGCTCTTTTACAATCGAATGACAAAGGAAAAGGTATATGTCCATGGCTTGCATTGAGAACCTCTAACCAGGAGGGCTGCTATGAATAAAACTAGCAAAAGAGCTGTCAGCTTCACTGCAAAGCACTTCTGGGGCCGGATCAGATCTCTTTCTCTCTCTCTTTTAAATAGCTTTGTGTTTTAAAAATTGTATACATATTCTTTTTTATAATTAATTTTTTCAGCTTTTAAAAGTTTATTATTTATTTCACAAAGAGAGGCACCCCAAAAGGGTCTTCATGTCCTGCTCTATGCCCAGTCTCAGCTACCCAGGTCATGGGCATGTATAGGGAGGTCCCAGGAGGTGAACCCAGGACCTGTCTCATGTGGGTCCAGCTGTGTTACCACTGTGCCATTGCCTGGCCTCTAAGATTTTCAGCTTTACAAAGGTATAATTGACAAATAAAATTGTATATATTTAAAGTGTACAGTGTGAGGATGTTATACTCATGTACATTGTGAAATGATTTCCACACTCAGTAATGAACACACCCATCACCTCACAGAGTTGCCATTCTTTTCCTCTTTTGGTGAGAATGAGTAGGATCTACTCTCAGTAATTTCAAGTGTATAATACTGTGGATAGTCACTATGCTGTACCTTAGATCCTCAGAACTTACTTATCCCATACAGCTTTATTGAGATACACTTCTTATATAAAAGACGCTCACCTAGAGTATGCAGTCTAATTTTAGTCATGATCTGTTTTTAAAAAAATATTCAATTTAATTTTCTTTTGTGTTATTATTTTTTCTTTTTGGAGAGGTTTTTGCTATAGGGCGTGTGCGCTTGCCAAAAAGACAGAGAGAGACAGAGAGACAGAAAGTGAGAAATCATCCCTCGGGGGGATGGCCATGCCGCAATCCTTTCTCTTCCATTCTCCTCTCAAGATCTTGGGCATGCATGCACACGTTCCCAGGTGCGTGTGCGTACATGTCCGAATTTGCAAGAAGAGAATGGAGGAGATGAGATTGTGGCATAGCCATCACCCCTAGGAGGTGATTTCTTGCTTTCTGTGTCTCTGTCTCTCTGGTGAGCTCACGCACCCTATATAGCAAAAAAAAAAAATCTGTCTCTGAAAAAAAAAATTTCAAAGTTATGCATAACTTTTGGATAATACCCATTTTCTATGAACTTTTTGAAGACCCCCTGTAGATTTGGGAGACATTGGTTTCTTTTTTTTTGGAGAGATTTTCACTATAGGGCTCGTGTGCTTGCCAGACAGACAGAGAGAGACATAGAGACAGAAAGCGAGAAATCACCCCCCAGGGGGGATGGTCACGTTGCAATCTCTTCTCCTTCATTCTCCTCTCGGGATCTTGGGCACGCACACACACGCGCCCGGTGTGAGTGTAAGCCACTGGGTCCGGGACTCGAACCACAGTTGACTATGTGGGAGTCCAGCGACATAGCCATTATGCTAACTGCTGGTCCCTCTCTGAACTTTTTGAAAGTCCCTTGTATTTCTGCAGACCAGCATTTTCCTGGTAAAAATATGAGAAGAAATAAATCTCTGTTTATTCCTAAGCAGTACAACACTATGGAGAAGACTCAGATTCTGCAGTCAGATTTTAAATCATGAGCTATGCGACTTTAGCATAATTATGTAACATCCCTGTGCCTCAGCTTCTTCAATTGTTAAAACTACTTTACTTGTAAAGAAACGAGGAATCTAGGGACACATGGGAAGTTAACAAGAGTCATACCTGAAATCGGTATTTCTTTAATTGACAGTCAGCATCACTATATCTTTCATCTTGGGATACAGTTGACAAGAATGTTCAGAAGTAAACCCCATGGGTCGAAATTTAAATGATAGGTATCCCTAAGTGCTAAGTGCTAAGTACTTTAGTTTAATACAAATGGCTTTTGAGATGTTTTATGAATATAAATAACATCATTTGCAGATCATATAGTAACCAGGAGAATACTGAACTACTATTAATATAAACTAAAAAATGATTCATATTTTAAAAATACTAACACAGTAGAATTTTTTTCAACAAATAGTTACGTAAGAGCCTACTACTGCAACTTTGAGAGAAGATAAAGAACAAAGAGTTTGTAAAATTATTCTTTTTTAAAATAATGATTCTACTTAACTTTATTTACTTTTAATTTGACCAGAGAGGGAAATGGAGAGAGAGAGAGAGAGAGAAAGCAAGGTACCAGGTCTGGGACTCGAACCATGGTTGGTCATATGGGAGTCCAGCGCCCTTAACCATCACACCACCTGCCAACCCCAAAATTATTCTTATATAAAAAATTACTTATAAAGTTACTCTTACATCACTTTTTCAGCACAAAGTTTTACCTTTATTTGGCCAGTCAAAATATATGATTCCCGTATGGTCTACACATGTTTTAGGATTATGATCTGTAAACATTTACTTTTTCTGTTTTTTGTTTTTGAGAGGTTGTCCTATAGGGTGCGTGCACTCACCAGAAACACAGAGACATAGAGAGCAAGAAATCACTCCCTTGGGGGGATGGTAAGCCACTGGGTCCGGGACTCGAACCACAGTTGACTATGTGGGAGTCCAGCGACATAGCCATTATGCTAACTGCTGGTCCCTCTCTGAACTTTTTGAAAGTCCCTTGTATTTCTGCAGACCAGCATTTTCCTGGTAAAAATATGAGAAGAAATAAATCTCTGTTTATTCCTAAGCAGTACAACACTATGGAGAAGACTCAGATTCTGCAGTCAGATTTTAAATCATGAGCTATGCGACTTTAGCATAATTATGTAACATCCCTGTGCCTCAGCTTCTTCAATTGTTAAAACTACTTTACTTGTAAAGAAACGAGGAATCTAGGGACACATGGGAAGTTAACAAGAGTCATACCTGAAATCGGTATTTCTTTAATTGACAGTCAGCATCACTATATCTTTCATCTTGGGATACAGTTGACAAGAATGTTCAGAAGTAAACCCCATGGGTCGAAATTTAAATGATAGGTATCCCTAAGTGCTAAGTGCTAAGTACTTTAGTTTAATACAAATGGCTTTTGAGATGTTTTATGAATATAAATAACATCATTTGCAGATCATATAGTAACCAGGAGAATACTGAACTACTATTAATATAAACTAAAAAATGATTCATATTTTAAAAATACTAACACAGTAGAATTTTTTTCAACAAATAGTTACGTAAGAGCCTACTACTGCAACTTTGAGAGAAGATAAAGAACAAAGAGTTTGTAAAATTATTCTTTTTTAAAATAATGATTCTACTTAACTTTATTTACTTTTAATTTGACCAGAGAGGGAAATGGAGAGAGAGAGAGAGAGAGAAAGCAAGGTACCAGGTCTGGGACTCGAACCATGGTTGGTCATATGGGAGTCCAGCGCCCTTAACCATCACACCACCTGCCAACCCCAAAATTATTCTTATATAAAAAATTACTTATAAAGTTACTCTTACATCACTTTTTCAGCACAAAGTTTTACCTTTATTTGGCCAGTCAAAATATATGATTCCCGTATGGTCTACACATGTTTTAGGATTATGATCTGTAAACATTTACTTTTTCTGTTTTTTGTTTTTGAGAGGTTGTCCTATAGGGTGCGTGCACTCACCAGAAACACAGAGACATAGAGAGCAAGAAATCACTCCCTTGGGGGGATGGCCATGCCACAATCCCTTCTCCTCCATTCTCCTCTCGGGATCTTGGGCACGCACGCACATGCGCCCAGTGTGAGTTTAAGCCACCAGGTCCAGGACTCGAACCACAGCAGACCACATGGGAGTCCAGCGACATAGCCATTATGTTAACTGCTGGTCCCCCAACATTTATTTTTTTTAAAAAAGAATTATTTTATTTAACTTTATTTATTATTATTACTTTCCAGTTTGATCAGAGAGAGACAAAGAGAGAAAGAGAGGGAAAGTGAGAAAGCAAGCCACCAGGTCCAGGACTTGAACCACAGTCAGCCATGTGGGAGTCCAGCACCTTTAACCACCATGACACCTGCACCCCCCAACACTTACTTGTTCTAGCAACTAGTTCTGCTTTGATAACAACAGCTGTGAGACATACTTACCAAAGTGTTAATGCAGATAGAATTGAGAACGCATGCTCCATTTTGACACTCATCAATATCAGTGCAGACCTAGTGTGGAAAAGTTTTAAAAAGTTTAGAGAGATGAGCTGCTTAAATAGAAATGCAAATAAACCTTCAGTTTTGATATTTTTGTGTGAAGTGAGGACACACAGGATTACCAGCAAAATGGCAGTTTTAGCCATCTCTCTGAATTTGTATCTGTCTGTATAAACCTAATTGCAAATAATAATGGCCTCCATGATAATTAAAGTTATTCAGAAAACTTGTACAATTCATCTGTTAAAAACCTTTTTAGTCAGGAAAGTTTTTTATTCTGCTTGGGACTCTGTATATCTTCTAAGTATTCTTGTCTTCCTCCAATTCTAGAAAATTCTTGGTGTTTCTCCAGTTTTATTCTTTGTATTCTCTCTTTGAAACTACAATTAGACTAACTTTGGACTTGTTCATTAATATCATTTTTTGAAATAATTATTTTATTTAACTTTATTTTATTTTTTGTTTTAATTTGACCAGAAGGGTACACAGAGAGAGAGAGAGAGGGAAAGTAAGAAAGCAAGCTGTCAAGTCCGGGACTTCAACCACAGTTGGCCACGTGGGGGTTCAGCACCCTTAGCCACCATGCCACCTGCTGGCCCCATTAATATTATTTTTTGATTTTTTTTGAGAGTTTTTTTGCTATAGGGAATGTGTACTCTCCAGAGAGACAGAAAGCAAGAAATCACCCCTCCAGGGGGATGGCCACACTGCAATCTTTTCTTCTCCATTATCCTCTCGGGATCTAGGGCACATATGCACATGTGCCTGGCGTGAGTTTCAAGCCATCAGATCTAGGATTCCAGTGGCAGTTGGCCATGTGAGAGTCTAGCATCATATGACTACATCACCTGTTGGCCCCTTTAAATACATTTTTAAAAGTTGAGTTATTTCTTCAGAGAGAGAGAAAGAGAGGGAGAGACAGAACTCGCAACAGAGTCTTAATGCTGAGATTCACCCCAAGCTTCAGTCCCCAGATCACGGGGAAGTCCATTCTGGGCATACTCAGAGTAGTCTTTGGACATGAACCTGGAACCTTTCATGAGTCCACCTCACAGAGCATTGTAGTTGACTCTTGTAGTACCGTCTGACCCCTAAAGACTACATCTTTCACTGACAAAAACTTTGTTTGCTGTTTTTCAAAGTTGTCCTTTATCCCCACCCCCGCCCCGCATTGCCCTATTTTTTCTTTTTTTTCTTTCTTTTTTTTTTTTTTTTAGTTTTTCCAGAAGGCACATGCACTCACTGAGAGAAACAGACAGAAAGAGAGACAGAGAAAGTGAGAAAGATCTCCTTCCACACACATACCATGGAGGATGGTCATGCTGTAATTCCTTTCCATCTCTCCCTTCTTTCAGGATTTTGGGGTCACATGCACATGCACATGCACTCTTGTATTTCTTAAGTAACTAGGCTCGGGGCTTGACCCACATAGTCTTGTGGGATCCGGTTACCCTAATGCCACAGGTTGGCCTGCCCTATTCTTTAAGTATGGTATTTACTTATTCTTTTATCTCTTTATCCTTTTGAGTTTATTTTTTATTTATCAAGTTTCTTCATATAAACTGCCATTTTTGTTTATGAGTGCATCTTTAGTAGCCCTGGTTTTGTCTGTGGGCACTCTGCTAGGCCTGAACTTTAGAATATCTTCAGGTAATGGCAAGTCTTTGACCTTAGGGCACTGGGGGTTTCATTGCTCCAGAACTACTTTGTGTGTAACTTTTTTGGCCTGTGTTTCTGTATTACAGATGAAACATAGGTTACTTAACTCCTACCTGTATAAGGCATAAGCATGGCCTTCTACAAGGTGTGCAATTTTCATTTTTGTCAGCCATATCCTAAAGCAGAATGAAGACAAGGTTCCTTTTTTCTTAAGATTAGTATGGCTTTTTCATCTCCTTGCAATGGATAGGGTAGTTCTTTGAGGCCCCTGGCTTCATGCAGGGTGTTAGGCCTGTCTAAAGTCCTGAGACTACATTTGCTATACTCAGGTGTTCAAACCCCAGCTCTCCATTCCTAGGACCCACACCCAGCTCCACATCTCATGAGGTGCTGTGGCATCAGCTTCCACTCACAGTTCTGGTTTTGAGTTCCTTCCTACTAGAACTCCACCATCGCTTTTGATTTCCTTTGCCCTTGGTAATGCATGAAAATTTGTTAAATTTTAGCAAGGTGGGGCCTTCTCCTTCAGTCTGGCCTGCCATTTTACTGTTAATCCATTGGGATGTACCTCTGTCCTCCTGGTTAACTTATATAAAGCACCTTATATTTCCTTTTCTCTATTTTCCCTGGTTTAGCCTTAAGGTTTTGTCTTTAGAGGACAGAAAGAAGAAACTTTGGGTCATTACTCTAATGGCTTCTTGTCATTCCTGTGTCTAGTTTGCTTCTTTTTTCTAGTAAAAAAAAAAAATGCCCTCTAGAATCCTTTGATAGGCAGCTAGGAAATAATGAACCCTTGCCCTTCTTCAAAGCTGATAATTTCCCTAAGGTAGTAAAATATATTTATAGACCAACCATTTTCAAGGGCTGAAGACATCAAAAAGAATTTCACAGTCAGTCAGTTAAATAATGACCAGGATATAGTAGAACATTTGGAAATAAATGGAGACTGTCATGCAGCTCTCAAGTGTTTTACGGCAATTTATAGCTTATGTAAGGAAAAAGGTAGGTTTCCTCAGGGGATTATTTCTACTCTTGAAATCCCCTCATCTCTAAAACAGCTTCTGATTGGCAACAATGACTCTATAAAAATGCACTAAGTTTTCAAAACTTTTATTTGCTTTCTGGACGCTCAAGCTATTCTGTAGGGACAG